AAGAAATAAAAAGAAATGGAAACCGCAAGGAATAAAGAAAGGAACAAGCTGAAACTGGCAGATGATTAGATTTTCTGTGTGAAATGTAACGGCTCTATAGATACATGATTCAAACGTATCGTTTTATTAATGAAAAAATGTATTAGGCAAGGCGGCGGGTGGGTATTTTTTAAAAAGCAGCTCCTGGTGCGGTGCGGTGTAATGACAGGTGTAAACGCTTGTAATCCCAGTATTGTGGGAAGCAGAGGCAGGAGGATCGTCGGAGCCCAGCAGTCCCAGGCTGCAGTGAGATATGATTGGAACACTGCACTCCAGCCTGGGGTGACAGAGGAAGACTCCGTGTCAAAAAAAAAAAAAAAACAATTCCCTTCTATGCACCTGAATGCAATGTATCAAACTGAGGCCCACAAGCAGAGTAAGATGCACAGACTAAAATACCATCTAATGCATCAAGAGGGGAGAGTTCGGGACCGAGTTGAGACAAATGTCATCCGGTGCTCACCCGACACGCCGAGATCCACAGATCAGCGCCGAGAGAACGAGGTCCAGGCGCTTGTCCCCGTGACCCCGAATGGTAGAGATGCTTTTTCTTTCTGGAAAGAGAGCAGAGAATGCTTTGGGGCGGGGCGCTGATTAAATACGACAGTGTGTCTCCAACTCCAGCCTGCAGCAGAATCGCCCTGAGTTCCTGATTCAGTAAGTTTGGGACGAGCCGCGGCCGCCGGTGGAGCTGACCTGGGGCTCTAAGAGGAGGCAGCGCGACCAGGGGAGGCCCCGGGCGCGGAGTCCGGGCGGGAGGGGCGAGAGCCACCCAGGAGGCCTCCCTTTGACCTCAGACCCTCAGGCTGAGCCCTCAGTCTCTAGCGGGCGGGCGGGCCAGGGCCCGGCGGGATACTAACCCGACTGAGGCAAAAACGCACCTCAGACGCTAGCGGAGGCGCAAAATGACATGGCTGCCGGCGCGCGCATGCGCATACGCGCGCTCCTCATCCCGGTTTCGGCACCGCCCACAAAGTTAGGGGCGGGGCCTCGGACCTGGGGACCTCAGGTGAAGCGGGGCCGACGAGGCTGAGGTGGGAAACGCGCGGGGGAGCCCCAAGGAGTGCGAAGGCCGGTTCTGGCCGCAAGCGGATGAGAAATGCTAATTTCCGCAGGGACTGGAAGTAAAGAGAGAAGAACTAGAACCGTGGACGGGGCTGGAGGGGGGAACTAAGCTGTGAAAATGCTTTGTTGGCTCAGCCTGCAGATTGGGAAGGGCGTGGGGCTGGGGCGAGACCAGGTCTGGAGGTGTGGCTCTTTTAATATTTCAAGGGGCGTGGCTAAGGGAGGAGCCTGGATGAGGGACGGGGATTGGTTCACAATTCCTAGGGGGCGGAGATGAGGCCTAGGGGTGGGGCTTGACTAGGCCTAGGGGCGGGGCAAATGTTAGCACCTCCTATTCCAAGTTCCCATGGGCCAAGGAATAGGGGATCCCAGCAATTGTGTTCATACCTGTCTTTCTCCACGTTGCTACAGCCCTGTACACAGGACACACATGCAACGGTCAGCCTAGCAATTTGTGAGATAGACTCTCCTTTGCATGCATTCAGTCCTTCTTAAGGCCTTTAGTTTTCCCTTTCATTATTTTACTGCTTACTGCTCTTCTAGAGGAAAGCCTTTGATAATAATTTAAATAGTTCTTTTTACCTGGAAACTTTGCTAACCTCTAATAGCTGTCAGTTCATTATT